CATCCCACCCCCAGCCTCCTCGCTTTAGAGAAAACCGCGCTTAGAAACTGGCGTCGGCGTGGCTGAATTCCTTTGGCACAAACTCCCTGAGTCTCTGAGATCTGTTTTCCTCGGAAACGCTAGTTATGCGTTTCAGTCAGGATTAACGTGGATTTTTTTTTATTCCTACATGTATCAGAATCATTCATCGAGGGGAAGTTCTACACATCCATTCCCAGAATCCTCTTAAGACATCTGGTCTCATTAGAAGATCAAATGGATCCTCCAGATTCATTAGTTGTTCAACAAAGTGGGAATTATTTCCTCACTGCTCTTGTGTTGGTGAGATATTTAAGACACAGGTGAGAGAAAAATTATGGAAAGAAGTACAATCTTCTTGACTCCCAAGGCAGCTCTCTCAGCAGTGTGGAGGGGTCTTGAATTCGCTCTTCATTTCCAAAAACACAACGAAAAAGTCAAGAGCATAGGCCATTGTAAGACAGATTTGGTTTAAACGTTAGAATGTAAGCCATGACCTCAGAAAACGTTTCTAAGACTTTTATAATTAGTGGCTCATCTATCACTGGTTACAATCCTGCACTCTCCTCCTGCCTATTTTCACAAACGCGCATAAAGTGTAACCGCTGCTGAAGATGCAAACATCAGGGTGCACACGGGATGTAACTGTGTTTCGCCATTTTAACTGCTGAGCACAACCCGTATGTTGTCCCCGAAGCAGCTTCTCTGTGTGCAGAGGGTGAGGCCCGGGAGCACGCTCTGGACGCTCTTTCGAGGCTGGGAAGTGCTGGCTGGTAGATGCACTGTGCTGAGCGATACCCCAGGGGACTGAAAGAATTACCGTAGCTTTCTTAAGTGACTCATTCTCTCCCACGGGGTCGTCTGGGCTCAGAGAAAATCTGTCTCAGTGATTATTAGTGAGTTAGTAATTGGATGGTAGGGATGGACTTCTGATAACCTACAGATTTGCTTTAGCTTCGCTGGCAAAGGCATGTATTTTTGGAGTCAAAGGTTACATCGTCTATCTGTGTGTGTGTGCCGGGGGTGGGGAGGGAGGCTGCACGAAAGTACTGCTTCTCTGAGCCTCCATCACCAGTCCCGGTTCTGCCTGTCGATAGCTGTATAATCTTGGGCAAGTCACATTCCCTCTCCTGCCTCCGTTTCTTCATGTGAAAAAGGAGGAGGTGGAGTCAAATGAACTCCACCCTCTTCCAGCTCTGGAAAATCTGTGGTTTTGAGGCCAAGAGTATCTTTTGATGCATATGTGCTGTTTCAAAAGATACTAGCTTCCGAGTATTAATTTCCTCTTTCTCATGCCATTGTTTTGGATGGAGATCAGAATTATCCCTTACAGGTGTATAGAAAAACAAAACAGCTCACTTACATATGTCCTCTATCCCTTTTTCCCTGATCATCTTCCAGCTCTGAAATTACATGGTGTCTATGAGTATACTGTCCTTTTTTTTTTTTTATGTGCTATTTTACAAGCTGCAAGTTTGGGAGTTATAATTTCCTTTCTCATTCCAATATTTTGAATGGGAACCAGAATATCTTTTTAGCACCTTGTAGATACGTGGGAAAACAAAACAAACCACCAAATTTCCTTGGGCCCTTCTATTCCCTTAAATAGTAAACAAATGAAATCCGTAGTCTCTTTTATACACGATAGAGAATGTAACGTGTCCTGGGAGAGTGAGCAAGGGGTCATTTGCAAAATTGCCTTGTTATCCTATTACTCTCCAGGAGCAGATCTGTGCCTTTTCATCTGGGGGTGGTAGAGGCATAGCAATCTGCCCTTTTTTATAAGCGTATCACTCGATGGGCGATTTGCTGTGACGTTAACAAGAAAAAGACAAATGTTTGAAGGGGAGCATTTGTCTTCCCAAATGATATTTAGAAATCACAACTTTTGCAGGAGGGCAGGGCGAGGACTGGGTTGCAGGTTCCAGGGATGTCTTAGGGGCCATACCAGGAGGAGGCCTTCTTTGGGAGTTGTTCTTAGGGGTGGCAGGTCAGCAACGCCCAGCGGATGGCCGCAAAACCTCCCCTAGAGCGATTTTCTCGGACTACTGGTCATGCCTCATTAGTGGGTCATGAAATCAATTTAGTGGGTCATGACCAGAAATTTCAAAAAACACAAAATAAATTAGACTAAAGCAGAATAGAATAGAAAACATCAGAGTGTGTGGCATGGAGAAGGTCATGTACTGTCTAGTGAAACTTTGGTTCAGTTGCGTGTGTGTGTGTGTGTGTGTGTGTGTGTGTGTGTGAGAGAGAGAGAGAGAGAGATGTGTTTGGAACACTAAGTTCCAGTGTAAAATATATTTCTTAGCAAAGGTCATAGTTAAAAAATATGAAAGCCCCAGGGAAGTACACCATAGTGCATGTGTCTCGATGCTGCCTTCAAATGACTTGTTTTTTCACAAAGTAAATTTATAAACTGAAAAGGAGTTCTTCCAAATGTGAATAATCACCTCACAACTCTGCATTTAAACAATCTGGAAGTTATTCTGAATTCTACTTTTCGTTCTCTGAAAAGTACTTAAATCGCATCACTCCTTTCAATGTCAGCCCCAGGCACACCGCAAAGTGGGTCAAGCTTGTCTTTCTGGGGGCACGTCCCACCCCCTGAAGGTGCCCCCCAGGCTTGTACCTACTTTCCTTTCCCTTTTTCAAAGCATATTCCCACAAAAGACAAATGCATTAAAAAATAGTATAAATGACTGATAATGCTTTAATATACTTGTCCCCAAAGATATTCATATTTTACCCAAGTATTAAACCCTCATGCCCTATAAAAGAATCTTGTAGAATGTAGCTACAGGGGGAGGAAAAGAGAAATTTGGAGTGAAAGAATATTCTCCGAGCACTATTATTACAGTCCCACCTGTGGTTCTGTATTCACTTCATCACTGTTTCCATTTTTACATGTAAATAATATGCATGATTTCTCTCCCCGTGGATTTGTGAACTACAACTTCAGCTGTCTTTATTTTTTTAATAGATATTTATGAAACTGCCTTACCATAAAACCTTTGTGAGGAAATATTTTGTTGTACTGCACCTTGTATTCATCTTACACCTAACTCACTGCCTGGTGAATTGTAGGTCCTCCAGCAGTGGTGGTTAGTGACTGTTTGTCACACAATTATACTGCTCTATAACACATGTGGAAATATGGTTTCCCTGTGTCTAACTAATGAGAATACAAGTGTGTGTTTTTTTCTGAATGTAAGATGGTATTATGTAAAGCCACCACACATTTGTCATAAAACAATAATAACAATTTTAAAATAGCACCAACTTATTGAGTTTTTAATATATGCTTGGTTCCCAGTACTAGATATGTTGCCCACGTAGTCTCATTTATTCCTTGCAAAACCTCCTCAACAGAAGTATTGTTATTCCCTCCATACCCCCTCCCATAAACACCACATGTACAATTTTACAGATGAGAAAACAGGCTCAGAGACTGACAACCTGCCCACGAAGACACATGGGCGAAGATACAATGCAAATCACGTCCATCTGATAGCAAAGGCCGTGCTCTCCTCACGTTTACATTTCCTAACTTCTCAGTTGCATCTAAAATTATCGTTTTCATTTTCATTTTCAAATACCTTACCTGTTCTCTGAAGGACAAACTTGTGAATGTAAGAACACCAGGAAAGCCTTGTTTGTTTTTTTCCATAAAAAATGCCCTGATGATCACAGAGGGGTCACATACTCAGAAAATGTCTGGCCTGACCCTGCTAACTCAATGCATCCTGCTTGCTCTCCACAGCCTAGATGTCCACCTTCAGCCATCTTTACACGGAGCTATCAACAACCTGAGAGGAAGAGCTGGACCGTCAGCAGTCTGAACAGCATGCTGGTGGTATTCCAGTCACTTACTTGGATCCGTTCAGATAACTTTTTGGTTTCCATGTACAAATCATGGTGCTTAGTGAAGACTGTTACAAAAAGCACTGTTTTCCATTTGCACGTGGCTTCCATATTCCCTAGTCCATCTACACAGACAATTTTTAACAGAAACCCTTTAAAAGTCTACTTTGTACTGTCATTCTCGCAGAGATTTTAAAATCTCCTCCCACTGTCCTAGGTGATCAGCAGCCACAACCCCCACATGACAGCAACAGGAAGAAATTGATTTTGTAACAGATATGCTTCGAGATCAAATCCAGGATTCACTTTTGTTTTTACAACAGAGAAGGAAAGCACTGACGACTAAATGTGTTTTGGTAGCCACGCTTCAACTCCAAACTTCTCTATAACTTTCCCATATTAATTCAGCCCTAAGTTTCAGGAAATAAAATAATTATGTAGTTAAACAGAGATCCTTATACAAACAAAAACTGTGTTTACAACATCCCAACCCCTTAAAACCAATGACAGACACGGCATATGAGAACTAAACCCGAGCCCAGTGGTCAGCACTCATATCAGCCCACTCCCCGCGCAATGATGGTAAACATCCTATTGGAATCTGCTCTGAAAACAAAGGCTTTACCAGCCTAACGTCAAGGTAAACAGGTAGTAAATACCTACTCGATACTACTAACCAGAGGTATCATTTGCATTCTTTAGGGTCTAAACACAACTAAGTGTTGGCATTTTTTCTTTTGAAATGGCACCATTATAATACAGCTCTTTACTTGATAATTTTCAAAAAGTTGACTAGGTGCTGTTTCTCACTGACTTAAATTTTCTAGCCATAAACCACCTGAATTAAAGGGACTAAATAATGACATTTTACTCTGAAGAAAAAAACTAAGTTTCCTATATTTTACATTGAATGCCATCCCCCCAGATTAAGAGCTACGTAGAATAAAAGCCCCATCAAGTTAAGCTGCAATAGTCTGAAGTCAAGGTCATAACATTTTCTACTCTGTAAATCATACAAAGAAGAAAAGTAAGGAAAACACATTTTCAGCACCAAGCATACATGAATTAGGAGCAGTTAGGGCTCTCTTAAAGGGGCAGTAGAAGTTGGAACGACATACCTTGAGCTCTCGGAAGAAGATACTACTCCTGGCCCACTCGACGATGGAGAAGAGGGTCTGATCGGCCATTTTGCACATCAGCCCAAACGTGCTCAGCTTTTCGTGCTTGCTGCGGTTAGCCTGCTCTTGCTGCAAATAGGCCATGATTTTGGCCTGGACTTGAGGCTCATCTGGCTCACACTTCAAAAGTTCCAGTATCAGATGTGGGATGCTTGCCGGTGAGCTGGTCTGGTAACTATCCATGTAGGAATAGCCCATTATGGACTCTGGCGAGCTGGTGTAGGGGTCTGGGTACTCGGACTTGATGGCTCGGCTAGGAAAGTGGCCGTAGGTTTGGTAACCTTGCAGGCTGCCATGAGGTGGCATTGTCATGCTAATGGGGGACGTTACAAAGGGACTTCTGTCATAGTCCGTAGGAGGCAAGGCAGCGTGGTTCAGAGGTAGGCCTTTGGAGGCAGAGTGGATGTTCTGAATGGCAGAGGAGATGGTCAGCTCAGAGGGCATCGCTTGGATCACCTGAGACATGGCTTCTAGCTTCAGTCCATTGGCTCGGATGAGGGCTTTCTTCTGTTGCTTCAGGGCCCTGTCCCTCTTGTACATTGGCCCAAACTTATTCCTTCCTCCACGCATTCGGTCGGCTCTTACCGCTGTTGGGGGAAACAAAAAAAAGGAAGTAAGGGCATAAATAAAATGCAAATTATTAGCATTCTCCAAATCTCCAGATATTTAGAAATGTTAAAAATTGACCAGAAATGGTATGTGTGGCTGTTTTCATTACAATAGCCCTAAAACATTCCAAAAAAAAAGCCCCCTGTCCTCCTTATTTATGAACTCTTTCCTCCAAGTGTGTTTGTCATCAAAAAAATATTCTGGACACGTATGGACACATTAACTCTTTGCTGGACTGAGAGATTTCATAATTTTTGGTACACACGGGATATTTCGTGTTGCTGAGAAAGTATCAGTTTGTATTATGCTAGTTATGTTGTGATTCTCTTCAGAGAAACTTGAACTGCTGAGAGGAAAAAAAAAAATCAAATAATCCATTTCTGGATTAAATCATAAATAATTTCCCTCACAATATCTTCCTCCTTCAAAGCCATTTTGGCCAATTTGCTGCACATCTATTTAAAGAGTAAAATCAAACTTTTACTAGGGCATCCTGCTTTGAAAATGTAAAGAATTTGTTTTTATACTTTTGCAAATTATTTTTACTTGTTCTCAGTTGAATCACTTCAGTCTTGTTTTCATCTAACCTGGCCTTTTTAGTGTCAAATGCATGATCCTCTTGGAAAATCTTTTTCACCTGGACTTGATGAGCACCCATCAGATGACCACCAGTTATTGTTTTTAGCCTAAGCAGAACTGGACATAATTAAAGCAAATTCATTTCAGAAGCTGTCAAGACAGTCTACTGCCACAGTGCCGTGTGGAGTCTGGGGCCACGTCTAATAAGTTGGTTAGCAGTTTTCTCTAAGCCCACAGTGGCCAGTGGCAATTAGAAAGCAGAGACCTCTGACAGCTTGTGACATGGTGAAATTGCTGGAGGTTAAGTTTTTGAGCTTTTTATCTTAGGATTAGTATAGCATTAAAAATTTATAGTGGATGCTAGGTATCCAGAAGACTGCACACAATAATAAAGAGTTTTTCATCCTGGTGGTAACATATTGAATATTCAATTGTTTCATATCACAGTTAAGGAAGGCTGAGTATACACCACAAGTGACTTACAGTTAAGAAGGAATACTCTTTAAGGTAAAGAAATTCAACTTTTTCCTTTTGTCAAAAAAAAAAAAGAAATCAAATGACATCTTACAAAATCACAACATCTAATTTTTAACATTTTTATCTTTTGAGTCTCATACCATAGTAAGCATCTCCCACAATATTTTGCTGTTTGAAAAATAAGGTAGAAATAAAGAAATTAATAAGCATCAATTACTTCCTTTCTCCATCTTTTCATAAAAGCAATACTGACTTAACAGTCCTCATGATAACCAAAGTGGCTACTTCTATTAGGAAGGAATCTATTAGCAATTTAGTAGATTTATTTGAAAATTTTTGAGTATTTCTATCAAGTCTGAGTGTCACATAACAGAAAAGCTCTGAGCAAAAGTAGCCTGTGCCTCATGGATCAAATAAAATGCACTCTTGTATCTGGCACATATCAATGATATGTATCCCCTATTATTACTCTATTTGCAGTATATTTAATCTGTGAAAAGTCAGTAGGTCAGAGGCTGAAAAACAGCAACACACCATAATAGTCCATGGACTACAAATTATTTACAGCAGTCACATATTAACTTTACTGCACGCCAATCTGCGCATTGTAAGCACAGGTTCAGGTCTTTCAACATGAAGTTTAATGTGGTTTTTGAGGAACCACTTTCTTGTTCTTGTCAAACCATTGCTCCTGATTTAATAGTTCATGATTTTCATGTTTCCTGCTACTCAACTTTTTTCATTTTGCAGACTCAGTCATTATCTTAAAAAAAAAAGAAATGTGCTTTCCCACACTATCAAAAACGATAAGTCTACACGAGAAACTCCTTTTTACAATTAAAGGCTTTAACTCTTGCTCAGGAATCATGAAATTAATAATAACAGTTATGACAAGCACATCTATTTAAAAAGATTAAAATCTTTTACTAGGGCATCCTGATTTGAAAACATAAAGGATTTTTAAAAACATTTTTGCAAATTATTTTTATTTGTTCTCAGTTGAATCACTTTACTCTTGTTTTCATCTAATCTGGCCTTTTTTAGTGTCAAAGGAAAAGGAGTAGAGGGAAACTCTGATATTTAAATTTTTTTCCTAGTGGATTTCACCAGTGTTTAAATGAGTCTGACTATCGTGCTGACAAAACATGAAAAGATCTTATATTATTGTGAACAGCATTAACAGACTAGGAAAACGTTACCATGTTCTAAGTACAATGTTGTTTTAAATCCTATGTCCTTGGAGACTTTTAACAGGCAGTAGTCTTTAGAAGAATCTTACCTTCTAGCTTCATTCCAACACTTAGACATTTTTGAAATCGACAGTAGGGACAACGCTTTCTCTGTGTTTTGTCAATTTGGCAGTTCTGGTTTTCTATACATGTGTACCTTTTATTATTTTGGACTGTTCGCTTAAAAAACCCCTATAAGACAGAGAAATTAGTGAGACATATTATAAATCTAACACCCGTCTCTTCCATTGTTTCATTTTAAGGAAATCCCCAGTAAGTCTTTTCATTGCATCACTTGAGCCCTTATGTGGTTCTGTGGTTTGTTTTACATTTTAACAAGATCAACCTTCCAAAACAGCCCCAAGCCATAGTGGAGATTTTTCTGGCACCAGAGTTATATTCCTGAAGAATTACATCAAATCTTGGGGAGATTTGGCTACACACCATTTCATCTCAACAGTCAGAGAAAAACACATTCTCTATTGACCAGTAATTTAAAAAAAAAAAATCTGTTTTCCTGTTAACCTTCATGTTCCAGATAGGCACTCATGGAGACCTGCACTGTGTTTAAGTAGTCTGATACAATTTCAGTGGCAAACTGTTGTAAAATACCAGTGGAAAAACTGAATGGCAAAACGCCTCAGATCTTTTACAAATGTCAACACTAGATAGTTAAAAGCAAAAGAATTTACAGAGTAAAATGGGAAAATGTTTATAATTCCACTGGGATACATTCAAGTTGGGGAACTCTGTAAAAAAAATAAAAAGGTGAAACTAATGGAAAAGAAAAGCATGTATAGCAGAGAGCCGAATTTTAGCACAGAGAGTATGCTTTCCTTATATTTCACCCAAAAGAATTAATCAAAAAGAAAATTTGTGGCTTTATAATGTAACAGCTTTACCGGGTGGTATATTCTTTATGTTCATCCTCCTGGCCGTAAAGCGAAACAATCTTACTTTGTTATAGAGAATGAAGGGATTTTCCTGGCAGTGGTTGAAGTAATTGTACTGAGTTTTTCTACTTTAAAAAATATTGAAAAATAGCGAGCATCAAATTTACTGGGATATATAAAAAAGGTCTGAGATAAATCCTTATAGTTGATATTACTAGTAAATATATAGTACATTTTACATATTAAAATTTCTTGCATTTACATAGGTTATATACTATATTTATAAAAACTACTCTATTATAAACTAAGATCTGGTCTCTTATTCTTTATGATATAAATTTTAAAAAATCTTAAAAATTATTTTTGGAATAAGTCAGGATGCAGTCAGGCGGTTGAGAATTTCGACTTTTATGTCTGTGGATAAAAAATGTTTAGACTTGTAGCACAGAATACTCTGCAGTTAAAATGTATTTGGGAAATACTTTGTCATGTTTCCTCTCAAGAACAACGATGCTTTAAATATATATAAGTCAAGCAAAATCAATATTTAGGACTGTTAGCAATAGAAGTCTTTCTACAGCAACATCACTTTACTACAATAAAATATTTTAAAGCCATGGGACTGGCAACATTCTCTAAACAACATAAATTTCTTTGCCTTTTGAATTAAATCAGACACATATTTCTAAGAATCATCTGCCTAAGACTCTTTCTCGATCTCCTTTTTAATTGAGTGTTAAAAAAAAACCAGCCTAAATTTAGCTTTAAAAGGTAATCCAATGTTTATTTTGGTTTTGAACATTATATTTCTCAGGTAGCAATGTGTAAGCAAACCTTGCAGCTTTCACAGGTGAGGAGCCCGTAATGGTACCCAGACACTTTGTCTCCACACACCGGACAGAGCTCTTCAAGGTCTTCATCATAGGAGTAATTCACCATTTTAAACTGAGACACTGAAACAAGAAGAGAAATGTATACACATCTCCAATTAATTTACCATGTAGGTTTTAGTCCTGCAATGAAAAGCATTTTGGTGATTGGTGGGCAAATATCACCCGGAAAAATAAAAATAATTTTTACCCAGGTATACTGAAGAGAACTATTTTTATACAGCGAAAGTGAAATATCTTTTGGCATCAATGAGCATGCACTTCACATTTTTTTTTAATTTAAAAAGAATTCCAATTTCTTTTCATAAAAATTTTTAAAGTGACCGCTGTTGAACACATAACTGCAAAAAGCCAATCCAAAGAGAAACACGAATTGCATAAAGTTAACAACTAAGTTCCACAATGTCACCTTTGCCTCAGGGAGAGGAACCAGCACGCACATCACTCTCCCACTCCTGAAGTAAGTTTGCTGCAAGTACACCCTGCTTAGAAGGATGGCAACACCAATTTGCAAACACTTGACCGAGACCCTGAAGCCCCACAGGCCTGCTTCTCAGCCTCAGCCCCACTTTTACAACAGCCTGCGGCTCCCACGGTTCAGATGTGTTACATTAATCGAAACATTCAGTTCCGTGTTGGCAGGGCTCCTGTGCTGGGTACTTTCATCTCCCCACATTTGAGAATCTCCTGTAAAAAGAAAAAGAAAAAAGGGAGGACGCCCGAACAAAAGAAAAAGTAAAGAAGAGGAAAAGACACACACGAGGGTTTGGTTTCGTTGCAAGCCCTGTCTTGAACTTCACATGTTTCCGATCATCACTGCAAAATATAAACACCTCGAGATCGCCCTGTTCAAGTTAAACAGAAATCAGGCCGTGTAGCCGCGCCTCACTGCGGGGATTGGGTAACCGCCTTCCTCGGGAGGCAGCCCCGCGAAGGCGTCTTCGCTGCTAAAAGATGGATAAACTCCGGACAGGAGGGGCAGTGGCCGGGAGACCCCAGATACTACCTGATCAGTCCCTCCCTGAGACTCTCGACTCGGAGGGCAGGCGCCGCGGGTCCCGACGGCCAGGGGCAGGTTGGAGCAGCCCGGCCACCGACCGCACCCCTCGGGGCGCCTTCCTGTGAAACCCCGAGGCGCACTCGCCCCTGGTCCCTTGCTCAACCTTCGGCTACACACAGGCGCACAAACACCGAGTGAGTTTGTTTTAAGTTAATCAGTGGCATTTGCAGGGGGCGGGGCGGGGGGGATGGGGAGCTGATGGCCGGGCAGAAGTTTCCTCTGATTTGTTTACCAAAAAGGAAAGAGAGAAAAAGCCCCCACCGCATCCCCGAAGTACCGGCCACTCTATCACCGTAGTGGCCTCCTTGCCAATGACTTGTTTTTTTTTTTTCTTTTTAAAATAAAGTTTTTCTCTAAGTAAAGTTTTTCTCTAAGGATTCCGCGGGCCCCAGGAAAGGGCCGTGGAGGGGGAGGTCACTTGCAGCACTTGTCGGCTGAGGGCCGAGCACCGACTGGCTGAGTTGAAGCCTCTCTTCCCGAGACACAGAGCCCTGGCCTGGGGCTTGAACTGGAGTGAGTTAGCCAGAGTTTGGGAGGATCTCAGGAAAAGATGTTCCAGCAGAGGCAGGCGCCTGGGCTCTGGAGACGGAAATAACGAGATGCTGAGCGCAGTCCTCCCAGCGGAGCCAGCCCGAGTCCCAACCCTAAGAAGTCTGCGCTCAGGTTTTGGGAACCTGGGGGCTTGGGGGAGGCTGAGGGTTGGATAAGTTTATTTATAGTCCCATCTCTCCTAAAACTCGTGACTATTGCCTTGAGGCGTGTTTTAGGGACGGAAAAGAAGTGTACTTTACCTCCTCTTTCCCCAGAAAAGTAAACTCTACCTTCGCACCCAAGGCGCACAGAGAAGCAACCATTCATAGGCGGCCTCGGCGCCTACCTCGGACATCCAACACCGAAGGGACAGGGGCTGGGGGTGGGGACCCTCGTGGAAAGTTCAAAGACAGAGGCCGCTAAGCAAGACCGGGCATCTTTCAGAGTCCCCAGGTGCTGTATCCCAAGCAGGCTTTTGGAGAACCGAAGCCGGCGGGGCCAAGAAGTCCCTGCCTGGAGAAAGTAGAGGGGTCGATGGGGCCTTGGAAAGCTAAGGCCGCAGACAGGCACGGGAAGTTTCCCCAAGTTGGACGCGCTGCGCTGCCCTGGGACCCAGCAGCGGGTCCCCTTTCTGGGCTCCCCCACGGGCCAGATTACGGCGCGTCCCCGGCTGAGACCAGAGCAAGCAAGGGCATGGGGTCTCCGTCCCCAGGGGCTTCTCGAGGGGCAGGCCGCGTGGCCTAGAGGGAGCCGTAGCCCGGCGCTTCCCACAAGGCTTTCCAACCGCCCAGCGAGCGGCCTGCGGCTTCTCCTGGGCCCTGCGCCCGAGGGAAAGCTAACTTTCCGCTTTGGGACAGTAGGTCATCCAAGAACGCCCCTCTTGAACTTTACAAAGAAAATATTACAGTAGCATTTCTCTCTCATTTCCCCCCAAACTCCCTTATTCTTGCCTCCCCTACTTCTTGCTGCAGCGTCTCCCTGAGCCTCTTTCCCCCGAGTCCCTCAGAAAGGCGTGCGTCGGAACCAGGGGCAGAAACTTTCCTTTTGGACCCAACAATCCGCCGGCCTCACGGCGCCCAAAGGACAGTCCCTCTCCGCAGCTGGCGGCGGAGGGTCTCCCGATCCGGCTTCCCCCGCGCCCCCACTTCGCGGGAATCCAGGTGCCCGCGGGAATGCCTCTTTGGGCCAACCGGGTTCCCCCAGCAGCCAACCTACAAGTTACTCTCAGGGGCCTCAGCCCCAGGGGACTTCCACAGCCCTTCCTGGAAGCTTGGAGAGACCCCAGGGTCACCGACCCCACAGGCAGGACGCACGCCTTCCCGCCACCCCTTTTCCCAAGGCGGCCGGGCGCGCCGCCTATCCCGCACCGCGTGTGCACCAGCCCTGAACTCTGCTCTCAACACCTCCCAGTCCTTTCAAGTTCGCTCACGGGGATGGCAGGAAGCGTCCCGGGATCACAGGCCCGCCTGCCCGCACATCCTGCGCCGTGGAAAGGGCGAGGATGGAAGGGCGCCGGTGACTTTTCCTAGCATTGTTCCCTCCCCGGCCCAGAGCAACTGCGATCAACTTCTGAAGGGCTCAATACAGCCAGATCTAGAATCGCTATTTTGGAATGCGGAGAAAATATAGCCAGCGGGTTCTGCTTTTTTTTTTGTTAGCAATCAAGAGCTGGGAAAACAAATATGACTTCCATATTCCCAGCTCTCGGACTGAAGAAGAGGCAAGAAGCTAAACCGCTGCCCCCGCCCTCCACTCACTCGGCAGTACCCGCGCAGAGGACGGCCGTTGGGGTAACTTAGGTTCTTTTCAGTTCTGCCCGCAGTTCTGAAGTCGTCCAAATTCGATCCGGCTCCCGGTGTCCGCCCGAGCTTTTGGGGTTGCCCACATGCATTCTAACACCGCTAAGACCAGCTTTTCCGGAGTCTCCTCTTCTTTCTGTGGTTGACTTTCCTAGGCAGGGTGGTGTTGCTCCACACAAGAGCACTGGTTAAAGTTCCCACAGATTCCAATGACTGAGAACCTGCACGGGCTTCCAGCGAGACATTCCATTTCTTAGAATGATCTTATTATTCTAAAGTATCTTTAGCCTGAAGCTGCCCCGCTCGGGTTGCCACAGAGCTCGAAGCCTCTCTGCTTAATTAGAAGCGGCCAATTAGGCATTGCCTGGAAAACCTCCGCCCTGCATTGTTCAAGAGCCATAAACTTTTATGCGTGCACCTGGGGAGGGGGCCCAGCGCCCGCGAGCGCCCAGCCTGGCCACCCCTGCGCCCACGGGGCGCGCCCGGGGGTGGGGTGGCCGGGGAGCCCGAGCCCGCGCAGCGCCTGCTCACCTTGCATGTTTTCCGGCATCTGCCCCTGTTCCCCATGCGACCGAGCCAGTCCCAGGGCTTCCGTCTCCACTTTAGGCAGCATGACAAGGCGGCCGCGGGCGGGGAGAGGGGTCCGCGTCCGTCCGGAAGCCCAGCACCTGGACACGGGCAGCACAGATTCAACTCCGGCGGAAAGAAGGCAGGGGCGGCCGGGGTGCCTGCTCACCCTCCGGCTCGCGGGAGCGTGCGTCCGCCTCCTCCGGGGCTGCGCGTCCCGACCCCCGAGCCCCGTCCAGTCTCGCAGCTCCGGAGCCGCTCCCAGCCGCGGGGAGGAGACGAGCGGAGACGGCGTCCGGGCGCCCTGGGTCTGCTCGGCTCTGGCGGCAGCGGCGAGGGCGCAGCTGCCGGGCGGATCGTGTACGGCTGGCTCCGGGCGGCAGCGGGGGCGGCCCCGGACCTGCCGCCGCTCCCGGAGGGACCGCTTGGGCGACTCCCACCCCTCCGTCCACCCGCCCTCTGGCTCAGGATCTGCAGGGGTCTCTCTCTCTCTCTCTCTCTCCCTCTCTGTCGCCTCACTTCTCCTCTCTCCTCTCCGCCCCTTCCCCTGTCTCCGCTTCCCGCTCGCTCACTGTCACAAGTGTGCAGTTGTGAAGTTCCAGCCTCCCTTACTCCTCTCTCGGGTCCGAGAGCAGCCCTTTCCAGCCCCGAGGGCAGCCGTGCAGGAAGGGGGGAAGACAAGGAGAAGGAAGGTAAGCAGGGCCGGGGGCAGGGGCAAGGCTGGGATGAGGGGTGATGACAGTGAATGGGGACGCGGGTTCCGGACTCGGGTCGGACACCAGCCGCCAGCCAATGAGGAGGAGGCGCATGCTCCAGTCCCCTCGCCTGCCCCAGCCCCTCCACCCCGCCTTCACCCCCTCCCACCCCACCCTGGCCTGAGGCGGGGGATGTAAAAGCTGCCGGGTCTTACAGCTGGTGAGAAGCGACCTCTGTCTGAGCGCAGTGGCGAAGGATGAAAGGCTAGGGCGGCTATTTCCTCGAGCTGAGGGGAAGCCAGGAGCAGGGATGGGGATGTGAGTGGGTGTGGGTGTGTGCCCTCGCGTGTGTGTCGGGTGAGGAGCTGGAGGGGGAGTGTTTAACTACCTAAAGGAGAAAAGAGATGTTGAATTCAGTTGAGTGCTCTTCTCCAAAACAGAGCTGGCCAGCTCTCCAGGTCTCCGGCTTCATTCCCCCGGGGCACTGGGTCTGCGGAGAGGCCCCCCATGGGCCCCGGGCGCCCTGGAGTGCCCGAGCGTCCCAGCTCACGAGGGGACAGCCATGCCGCTGAGAGTTCACTCACTTGCCGGAAATGTGAGGACCAGCAGTCCCTGTTTTCGCACTCTTCCCCGGTTTCTTAACTCACTTATAACGCCCCCCCCCCCCGCCCGCCTAAGATTATTTTAGCGGCCGACTTCCTAAATTTTAGCGAACTGTGCTTCCAGGTAACATGCAAAGCTCAGTTGGCTTTCTTTTTCATCCTGGTGTCTCTGGTGGGATGATCCACATGAAGCCCAGAGGCCCAGCACTTTAAAAAACTTTTAAAGAACCATCTGTTATGCAAGTTCTTCCGCCACCAGCCCAGCCACATCTTCAAAGTTTTCAGATCTCATCCCAAGATGAAAACTACTTTTTCCAGCCTCCTGACCAGACGAGAAATGCCTCATATTCAGTGTCCGCTGTGAGACCGGGTAATTATCAGAGTCCACCCACAAGGGGGTGAATTTGAATCTCAAAAGATCTGAATTTATTCTATTCGAATGGCATAGAGATCACACATTCACACTGCCCAGTACAGTATTTGATGAATTGAAAAATACTCCAATCATTGCCATGCAAAATCTACACTTTTATATGAAGTGGGTGGTTCATACCCACCCACCCCTGGCCATTCAGATAATTTGGGCTCTCTAAAGGGATTTGTCATTTTGCTCTTCAGGAGATATTCAGAATCTGAGTTATTTAAATTTCAGTTTTAGTAGCCTCTTCAGGTTTCATGAAACCATTTAAACTTGGGAGGGGGCTGTCCATCAGTTCATAAGGGGGAGTGGGCTTGAGCTGCCAAAATTAGTGACACTTAAGATGCTCAGGTTTTCCTGAGAGTATCAAGTCACACTGTCAATCCATTTCTAGTATTACCAGTTGTTTTCAGTATCGTTGTGATTGAAGAATATATGTACCTACATAGTTCAGAAAGGGAGGTAAGTTTCAGAGCTCAAATCAGCACTCAGGAGAGTTGAAAGTAGGAAGAGGGTCCCACACGACCATGTAATTGTAGTGTGGCAAAAATCTTTGCGTACGCTTGAGGCTGAGCCTGACAGCCAGGCAAACTTTGTGATCACGTTCATAACCCAGCTTCAGCCCCAGAAGCGACTTAAGGCCACAAGAAGCTCTCTTCAGTCCAGGCCAGTCTGCCCTCCCACTACACCCCCTGAAGAGTGGGAGAGATGGTGACAAAGGGCCAGCTAGCATTCATTCATCTCCTCACAAAACAGGAGGGGCGATGTGTGTAGGGGGATAGGGCTGGGGACAAGATTTTAAAATTTGCACTTAAAACAATCCACAGTTGTCCCACAGAGGAAAGGAACAAGGCTTTTCACCCTGCGTTGAAGCTCTGGTCCAGGCTGACGGCTCGGCTCAGTTAGCAGCCAACCCAAGGGGCACCGAAAGAGCAGGAGGTCTCCAGCCGAGAGAAGACTTCCTTTTCTGAGAACCAGAGCAATTCCCAGCCCTTGGCGCTCGAGGCCTCCAGCTCGAGGAAGGGAAGGGCTCCCTAGGGCCAGCCCTCTCCAGATCCTCCCGGGGGACGTCGAAGCTTCCCCTGCAGTTGTTCTTGTCGGAGACCCGAGGGCACACTCACCTTTTCCTCGGTCGCTCCGCAAGGGGCTTAGGGGAGCGGCGGAATTCCCAACTCCGGGGCCGACGCAGAGAGAGGTCGGCGGTACCAAGCCTCCGACGCCGCGCTCATTACCGCCCTCCAAGTGCACTTTCCACCCCTCTGAACTCCCTCTTCGTTCCGAACACTCACTCTGGTCCCTTGACCCTGCAATTCCGGTGGGCAGGGGCTCCCACGGAAGCCGGGGACCCGCTTGCCCTGTGACCTGGGATCGGCCTGGGCGTCTCCTACAACGTCCTCTGGGCAGGAGGAGCCGGAGCCAGCCCGCGGCGCCTCGGGTCGGTTACCTGGGGATGGTTCTAGGTTGCAGAGGCCGCGCTGTGAGGCGGAAGAGCCCAGAGGACGCGGAAGGGGAAGCCGTTGAGATGCAAGGAGGGGACAGGGCCTGTGCGGTCTAACGTTGATGGTGCGGACTGGGAGACAGCTACACCACCGGCTGGGGCTGATAGAGCCCCCATGGGCGGGCAGACGCACCCCATCCTCCGCCCGGGGCGTCTTACCTGGAGCCACTCTGCCTCTTAGTGGAAGCACGCTTGGGAATCCACCCCAGCTGCGGGAATTTTAACTGGTGTTGGAGACCAGAGACCGGAACCCGGGAGGCCGGGGTAGACGGCTCCGGCTTAGCTACCGTGCGCCTTCTCAATTTCTTCCTGCACTCCCTCTGCCAACTTCTGGCAAACTTCTCTCCCCTTTCCCCCACTTCCCACACGCCTCCTTCTTTCCGACGAGACTAGTCTCCAGGGCTCGTCCTTCCCGATTCCGACTTTGTCTTAAAGCCTTGATTGACGGTTGCAATTACAAAGGATGATGGCTCGGGGAGGCTCCCGCAGCCTTGATGAGCCCGAGAAGCGCAGTCCTGGCATATTTTATTCAGGCTCAGCGTTACAGGGCTGTGCGCCCCATTCACCTGGCAGGCTGCAGCTGAGGAGGTCTCGCACTCCCACCCGCGAGGATGTAACTGCCTTGCTCTCCTCCCCGCCTCCACCTTCCCGCGGTTGCGCGCCGCGTTTCAGAGCGCGCGCCGGGAACAGCCTGCCCTTGACCCGACCTGAGAAGCGTCGGTCGGCCCGCGCGTTTAACGCGTGCAGGCTGCAGAGAGAGAAAATGCCAAGACTTTCAGTTTCCTGGTTCAAGTTTTCCGGGCTCGGCAAACACAGGTCCCCGGAAGAACAGAGTAGAAGACCCACCTCTACCGCGCGCATGGGTGAGAGAAGCCTCTCATGACCCACGCAACCTCGCAAACTTGCAAACCTACATCCTTGGAAACAATTTCTTAAGCCTCCTCCATTCCTACCTTTTGGTGTTTTTAAGAAACCAGAATAATTACTTTTTTCGTAGCACGTGTCTACATTTCAGCCCCAGAAGAAACCTAGGTTTTTTTTTCAGTCTCCACAATGAGGCCGGGATAGCCCGAGGGGAAAGAGAAGCAAGTTTATCAGCCCACCGAAGCTCGGGCTCTGCCTAATTTTTCCGCCCCTCCCACTCGAAAGCCCATCAGAAGCCACGTTTGCCTTTCTCTGAAAATTAAGTTTAGCCAGAACTCCGGAGTTCCGCTCCTGAGTCAGGGGGGTTGGGCCATCCGCCCCGCCTCTGGGCTCCCCACGCCGGCGTCCGGAGCACTTTGTTTTAAAAAGAGAGGGCTTAAATTTCAGCACAGATATCTAAATTACCAAGAAGCATTGTATTGGCCGAAACTTTGAAAAAATAAACTTCAATAGGTGAGAAGTTGTGCGTTAAAAAAAAAAAAATCCCTTTCTGCTGGGTGTGTAACTATTTAAGACATCATTAACAACAGCCGCTAGTGCGGAAGGAAAACTGCCAATTTAGACCTTCTACCCCTGAAAGAGTGCTGGTTAGGTATAGCCTGCAAATGGCGATTGCTTCACCATCACTATGGGAGTATCTTAATACACACCGCCCCGTCTTTACTGGGGATGAAAGTGCAAGGTGGAGCAATTATCTGGGTAATCTAGGTTCCTCCACCCCATCCCCCAGACAACCTCCCATCCCTGCCCTGAAGGTAAGGTGAGGTTTTTGGAGAGTTTGGCCTGGATTATCGAAATCTGCTGCTCTCTGTAAAAAACGTTTCACTGTAGAACTTTCTGACTTCATTTTCTTGGGGGCGTGTTGCCCCAACCCACGGGGCCAGGCGCGCCCGCCTTGGTATGGTCGGTGCCCTTGGAAGTGAACGAGGAGATCCGGTCTTGGGAAAGGAGCTGACTGGGGAAATAATCTTGGGTAGGTGGTCCAATCTAATCTAGCTCTTCCTCTCTGTAATTATAAGGGAGATGTGAGTCAGCTACAGCTCAAAACTGTGGGGCTCCACTTTCGGAACCACCCCTGTCCATCCTCGGGACAAATCAGAACATCGAGTGACGTTCTCAAGGACGATCGTGGCGCCAGCAGGCCACCAAGCGCTTAGTGAAACCAGCTGAATATTTGCATTGCCATTCCGTTCCCCGTGCCCCCTCCTCAACCTGGACTAGCAACTAAATCCTCAGCACTAGCCTATTCTAGGCTACCATTCCACTGAATCCGGCCAGACTGGAAGTTTCGGGAAGGACGGCGCAACGTGTCTCGTGGCTTCCAAATTCCTGCGCTCCTGCAGCACTGGGACCGACCCTCGGAAACTCTTGTTTTAGGACAGCCCTCGCGCCAGGGTTTCCGGCTCTTAAGATCAAAGAGAGCCGGGGCGCGCAGAGCTGTGGGCGTCGAGCAATTTGGGTCCCTCTAGGGCAGCAAATAAAGTGGGGGCTTGGAGAAAGGTGAGACTTGCAGGGTCTCGTCACCCTCGGCCTTGCGGCGCGGAAGGTCTGGGGGGTTACGCGAATGCCGGGTGCCGGGTGGGGGCGGCTCCTCCTCCAACCCGCCTCCAACTTGAAGACAACTTTTGTAGTTAAAAGATGGTGGCTGGCGTGCGCCAGGGCTTGGGGCAAATTCTTTCGCTTTCCCCCAGGGCTTTTGTTTGGAAACTGTGGGACGTTGCTTCGGGGACCTGGCGGCGGGTTCCGACCGATTTTCTTTCCAATCCTATAGAAAACCTCTGGAGGCGGTGGAACTTGGGGGAGCTGAGGCTGCGGACGTCCAGATCCTGAGCAAGGAATCTGCATTCACTGTGGAAAATGTTAGCGCCGGGCGTGGACCGGAGCTCACTGAAGGGGACACGCTCGGCTTTGCGTCAAAAAAAGAGGAGGGCGTGCTTAAATTCTCTCTTTCCCTATCCGCTCCCCCCCGATAAGACCAAATATATTTGTCTCTTAGGGGAAAAAAGTCTTCTTTCTAAAGTCAGTCACTCATTTTGAGTGATTTCCCTGCCCTCCTCATACCCACTGACTCTGTACCAAGTAGATGCTCTGAACTTTCTCTCCGTTCCCTGGTCATCCTCTCAGTAGCCATGTGAGTTGCCACCATGCACCACGTAACTGCAAGCTAATCCTCAGCCACAATCCAGAGGTCCTTTCCAGGAGACTCTAGAGTAGAAGACCAGAAGCACCTTCCCACCCTGCCCTGCCCTCAGGGCTCCCACGTGCTGTCTCCACCCCCACCCCCCCAATTCCCCATCCCACCCTTCAGAACTCACTGGGATCTAAATCTGATTTCTACTGTGGAATGGAAAGGAAGATAAAGAGCCATTCTAGCTTCATCCCGGAATGCCTTTCGGAAGTCTGTGTAGACCAACATTGTTTTTAATAATGCCTTTATATCAACAAGGGCAGAGAGTTACTACCTTGAGGAAAGGGCAGTGGCTTTCAAATCCTATCCATGGGTTCTATTTACAGTTTACTCTCCTGACAAGCTGACTGATCTTGGGTAAATCCTGGACCTTTCTGATTCCATTTTTATCAATAAAGTAGGGCTAACAAAGCAAACTGTATAGTTGCATGAGAAAGTGCCAGTAATTCAGCATATCATGCTGTTAATAAATATCAGTTCTCCTTTGTATTTCTCTCTTTCCCTCTAACTTCATTCGAACTCATTTTTCTGTAAGGAAAATAACTACAAAGGGCATCACTAACCATTATAGGACCATTAAAAATAGATCCTTCCAGTGGGAAGTACTTGCTAACTTGACTATCTTGCAGTGTTTGACACAGTCTTCAGGGACTATTACATTCCCCCCAGATCAAACTGCTTATGCATATCTGCATTCAGGTCATTTGGAATTTAGAAGTTAAGTATGTCTATTCTTATCAATCACAGAAATACACATAACAGAGCTTCCAAGAAAAACTAAGAAAGAGGCAGCCTTGTTCATTTGGCCAATTTCAGTCCACATGGTTCTCCCAGGCTTACTCTCAAGCTCACACTGCGTCATATTTCAGCTCTTCCCCAGGGCCTCCCCAGACCACAATGCCCCCCAAACTCCTGAAGCTCTTTGAAGCCCACTGGATTTCTCAGAGAAGTTTTTGTTCCAATAAGATGAAAAGCAAGGAAGTGCAGCCCGAATAAGTAGCTGTATCCTGAGGCAGGTTCCGGCCTCGGGGAGCAAGATGTCTGACTCTTGCCTGCGTAGAGCATCCCTAGAGGTGTTTGGGAGAGGCTGGGCTTCCAGGTGGGAGTCTGTCCCAGAGCCTTTCTCTAGCTCAGCTCATGTTCAAGGCTGAATCCAAGATAACCCTGGACATTGTGTTTGGGTGGAGGGGTCAAGTAAAGGAAAGGAGCATTACTAAGCCTCTGTTCTCTCTTCCTCCATAAATCTTTCTTGGCTATTGCAAGAGGCGTTGAAGAAATCCTTTAACTCTGCTCACAACTTGTGGATCCAGGCCAGTAAAGAGAATCTGGGAAGCTCTGTTCTGGAGGCAGGCTGGAGCAGGGAAGGAGAGGAGGCGCCTGAGCTCAGCTTCCTGTGGGGAACTGGCTGCCCAAGCCCAGCAGCAAGATCAGAACATGGGCGTGGGTGACTGGCATTCTAAACTGCACAGCAAGTAGAGCTGCCTGGAGGTTAGGGTGACGTAACGGGCTGTCTCATCTTCCACTGCATTGCATTTCCTTTCAGAGATCCTTATGGGCACCGAGCTTACTAGAGGTTATCACTGGAATAAAGTCAGACTCCAAGAGTGCCGAGAGGACCAGGGACCAAAATTTACATCACAGCCTCAATATGGTGTTTGCATTGTGTATCATGCACCCTGAACTACGCAGACATCACTTCCTGTGGATAATATACAGTATTATATTGAATGTGGATAGTATATTCCGTAAATGCACTTAATTTGAAGGATTGCATAAATTTAATGCAAATCAAAGCGCAATGTTGGGCACACTGCAGGAGAGTCAATAAATACTTGTTGTATGACATGATTCCTACCACACAGAGTCAGCTCTTTTGTTGATATAGACAAGTACTTGATTCTCTGTCTCTCTTAAATTAGTACTGCATATCATTCAGAAAAATCACTCCATTTGGGAGAAAGAAAAAAACCCAAGCCAGAAACCAAGAATGTGGACTAGAGCTGGCGTCCGAGAGCCAGTTAACTTTAAGGGGACAATCTGGTTATAACCTGAGCCTGCTGCTCTTGGCACCACACTGAATGAGTACCTCGAGACAGGCAGAAGGAACAGCTTTATCTTATTTCCACTTTTCTCTATGAGCACAGACATCTATACACAATTTTCCTGTAACCACCAAAGTGCATAGAAGACCTGTGTCATGCCCAGCTAGGACCCATAGACACAGCTTCTTCAATAAGCAGAGGAACCATTTCCTAGTACAACACAACTAAAAAAATGTAGAATTGGAAACCTTGACTGCTCTCTACATAGTTGGGCTCAGTTCTGTGGACCACTCCCCATCCCCTTCCCAACTTGCAGTTTGCCATCTCGAAGCTACCTGGGGAACTCAGACACTCTCTAGAGCTGCACGGTGGTTTCTTCTCAGTGGGCCTGCCTGGGGAAGTCAGACTCTAAGAGGAAACTGGCCTTCAGGGATGGGGTCAGCCCCTTCCATCCAACCGTTCAGTCTGATGGCTCCGCACTGTCCCCTATTCCTCTCCTTCAGCTCTCTGAGTGACTGTCCAGCCCAGAACCGCGGGAATGACCCTCAGCACCCCTTGAAGGCTACACCATGGACAGAGGGACTCAGTGCCAGCAGTCGCCCCCAGGTGACTCAGATGCTGCAAATAGGAACATCTCACCACCACCTGTGGGGCTGCAATCCCAGAGAACGAGGGAGGGAGTGTCCCTGGGCCGGGAAGGGGTGGGTGCTTTGGACGAAATCTGGAAAGTGGTCTCTTTTACCGGAAAACTGACCGGAATTTTGTCATCCTAGGATCTGGCGCCCGGAAGTGCCTGGACAGGTTTAGGGTGTTGGGCTGGGTCGCCGGCGCTGTCTGAGCGCCTCCGTCGGTACTTGTTTTTGAGGCTCAGTCCTAGCAGTCCCTCCGGGGCTAGACAGACCTTCCGCTCATCCCAGACTTGCGGGGGTTCTTCATTTACGCTCAGGGTGGGCCCGCCTGTGTCCCACGGCGCAGCCCGTGCGGTGAGGGGACCGGTGCGGGTGGCGAAAGTGGCCGCGAGTGACGCGACAGCGTCTCCTCCCCCTTCCTCCCCCTCTTTAATTCTCCCCTGGGGGCCGAGGGACGCCTTGAGGGATCGGTGTGTGTGTTCTGGGGACCCCCCTCCCCTCTTAATTCGCAGCCCCCATTCCGGCCTGCGCGGCCTGAGCTGCGGCGGGCCCCCGGCTCGCCCCGTGCGCGCGCATCCCCGCTGGCGCGCGCCCTCGCCGCGAGCCCCCGCCGCCGGGCGGAGGAGCGCCCCCGCGGCTGCCGCCTGGAAGGCCCCCGGGCTAGCGCAGCGCAGCGGCCTTGCCAGGCGAACGAGACTGGAAATCGTTTTGTGCTGCATCTCTTTCAGCTCCTTTCCTGCGGCCACACTTTCTTTTTATCTGCAGAGCAATTGAGTCTCTGTTGCACTCTGCTTGCCTGCCCCGTGTTCTCTTGTTCGTAACTACAGAACATTTTTTGGTAACCATTTCCTCAATTGATATACTTGAGGGTGTAGTTGGCCCGTAAAAAAGCAATCACTGCGTTCAGTGGAGTCAGCTGGTTATCAAGGGACCGAGAGGAAAAGCCAGAGCCCTGATTTGCCTTCGTGTAACAGCAGAGCTGGGACTCGGAGCCCATGACCGGCCCCTGCAATTTGCAGGGAAATTCCAGTCCTAAAGCCTGAGAAAGTGCTCCAGGAAAAGGTACAGGTCCCTCAAAACTAGGAGAAAGAAGGAAAGGCATGATTTCCAACAGACCACCGGGAATCACTTCCCTTCAGTCCTTTACTTTCAGGATTAATTGAAGTATTCTTGCTGTAACATCCACAAGTTTGTGACTTTCCATTGTTTGTTCTTTTTTAGAATGAAAATTAGCTTTATTTACTTCTGTTTATAAAAACAGGACATGCTCATCATTTTGAAAAACAGATAGTAACCCTTAATCTTTAACTAATGTTGGTGTGATTTTCTTTTCTTTTTTTTTTTTACATGACTTTCATTTGCCTGAAAAACAAAAGATTTTCCACCATATCTGCAATGAATGAGACACTGTACTATGGTGTGACTTGAAACTTCAGAAATGTTTGCAAGCTGTTTGTTCAGGTTTGGTCATTAATGACTCCATATGGTTAATTTGTTTCAAGCTGCCCAAATTTTAGCTTATTATTTCTGATTAAAAACTGTCAGAAAACATTATGGATGAAATTGATAAATTATGCATTTTATTTTCTGGCTGTTGTAGGCTAACAGAATGACATCCAGAAACAGTGGCTATAATGAATGATATCTGAAATATCCATTTGCTTTTTTGAACTTCAAGAAAGATAAATGTGTGATAGACAATTGGGCTTGTGTGCTTTGAATAAACGCAATAGGAAAAACAGTGACTTTAAATGCTAAATACATCAATGAAATTAAATTACATATATTAATGTGGTAGCAGAATAATAAATAGATGATAAATAGAGCAACTCCTACTTACCAATAGGTGTAAGTCCATGCTTTACAGAGTCTTGTAAATCCCCAGTATCTGAATTAGAAGACATTCTTAGTGAAACTATAGGCGGTCCTTTGGCTTAAAGCAGAAATCATTGAGCATAAGAAAAAGTGCAGCTTGTCAAATTTTGTAGCCTTGGGTAGGACACATCAGACGACAGTAACCCTTAGTGAAAGTTAAGAAAAAGGAAAAAAAAAAGGAAAAAAAAATCCAAGAATTCAGAAAGTTACAAGCAAGTCTTTCTCTGGACTCTGTACTTTTTCTAGCATTAGTGACCTGCTGTAAACCATGTATCCAGTTTCATGATGGTTTCTAATCAGAAGAATGGAAACTTGTGATAGGCTTGGTCTGATCACATGACCCTATGCAGGTTGATAAGAGGACCCTGTTATAAAGTGACAGCAAAAGAGATAAGAACTCTTGGCAGATAATGGCAAAGAAATGATTAACTCAGAAGTGGAGAGGTGCTATGCAGCACAGAGAGTGGAAAGTTGTAAAACAGAGGGGTCAGAAGATCATACTTAGTGGATAAAACTCCAAACCAGCTTAAATCCACTAACTAAATAGGCTTGTGACATACCCCCTTGATGTCATCACCTCTTTGCATAGAGGAGGACAGATGTAGCTCTTCTGACCTCTGTAAATATATTTTAGATGATAACATTGGCAGACATTAATTCTTTAAGCCGTGACCAGAGATATGATTGACACTTTGAAACACTACAGGTAGCATTTCCAAGCTTGTGGTCGTTTATTTATTCATGTTTTGTCAACCGATTTTTTTATCATGCCTCTTCATTAGCCGAAGAGTTAACCTTAGCTTGTTTGTACCTTAGTCAGTTGATTAAAAGAGCAGCTATCTCTTTAGTTCCGATAAAATAAAACTTTTTTAAAGTTAAAACTGGAAAAATGATGAATGTGTAATACATTTTCCATAATTTTAAAGTTATTATTCTTTGCTTGAACCTATGGAAAAAACCTGGATCACTCTTTGCCATTAAAGAACTCTTACTCAAATGACCAAGGATAGTTTTAGATTCTTTTTGAATATCCCTATAAAATCTGGATTCTTAGACCAATGCGTGTCTTTTCCCATGTTGTGGAACAGTTAGCTGTTTTCTTGTTTGTTTTGATTTTGCTAATATAGCAAACTTTTTTTTTTTGGCCAAAGATTCTATTCGGAGAACCCAAAATGTTATTTTTTTGGTTTTTGTTTTTTTGGTGAGGAAGATTGGCCTTGAGCTAACATCTGTTGCCAGTCTTCTTCTGTTTTGTTTGTGGGACACTGCCACAGCATGGCTTGATGAGTGGTGAGTATGTCTGCACCCAGGATCCGAACCCTGGAACCCTGGGTTGCTGAAGTGGAGTGTGTGAACTTAACCACTACACCACTGGGCTGGCTCCCCAAAATGTTTAAGTACAGCATATTCCCTGTCAAAAATGTATTTTTTTTTGGATTAGATTTGACTGCATGTAATAGAAAAACCAGAATAACAGTGGTTTAAATAAGACTTTTATTTCTCTCTTAAAAGAAGTTCGGAGGTAAGCAATCCAGGGATGGTACAATGGTTCTACAAGGTCTGCAGGACCTGGTTCCTTCCATTTCACTATCCCCTGGCTCTTGTCCTCATGTTCCAAAATGGCTACTAGAGTTCCAGCCATCACTACCAGAAAGCAGTATGGAGGAAGGAGAGAGAATGCATACTCCTTTTTTAAGGACCTTTCCTAAAAGTGTCACATAAACATTTTGCTTACGTCTCACTAGGCAGAAGTTAAACACATAGTCACACTTAGCTGCAAGGGAGGCTGGGAAGTGAAGTATTTTACCTGGGCAAGTAAATATGTATCTTAAATTAGAAAGGATTGGGTGGTTAAAATCATCCATGTCAGTTTGTTGCTCTTATTTCTTTAAATATTCAGATAATAACATGGCACAATAGAAATGTACCTATGTATATGTTAAGGGACCTGTGACTGCAAAGCAGCTGTTCTCTTAAAAATGTTTAGGATACCAAAAAGGTTTTGCTTCTGTGAATTATATCTATTAGTATTTTTTGTATTAGAAATTAAAATTAAGAGAGTAAAAAATTATTAATTACTTATGACTATATTGATTTATTGTTGTTAAAATATATTAGTATAAATAACACATTTTAAACTCAAAATAGCTCCTTTCCAAAACAAAATAATTTGTAAAAAGCAGCATTTTCAGAAGTCTTTTTAATGTCTAGCTTAATAGAAAGCTGGATTCTCATCTGCTTCTACATTCAGTCTGTAACGATATATTGTTTTGGTTGAAGTACATAAGAAAACGTGGTCTTTAAGAAATGAAGTTAGAAACAGGGATATTATAATGGCTTTTTCAGATAATTATGGATATTTTTCTTTGACACCACACCAAAACTCCACACATATTATCTTCTTAAAGATTAGTTGAAATGTGGAATCTGAAGCCATATTTGTGAACTTTGTGTACTCTATTACACTAAAATTCATTGTTCTGTTTAAACTTCAAATGCGCCTTTTACCTATGCATAATTTTGTTACATCTCACATGGGTAATTTGGAAAATAGAGGTTCATCAAATCTGGCAAATTTTCCAAGTGTTGACACATTTCATTGTACAATATCAAAAATTTTTTCAGTGGAAAAGAGTACCATCAGTTTTTAGTAACAGGTTCATTTCATATTTGGGAAATGTCTCCAAAATACCTGTGTCTAAATAACCATAGTTTGTCTGTAAGTCATTCTTTTTTTTTTTTTTTTGTGAGGAAGATCAGCCCTGAGCTAACATCCATGCTAATCCTCCTCTTTTTTTTTGCTGAGGAAGACTGGGTCTGAGCTAACATCTGTTGCCAATCCTCGTTTTTTTCTCCCCAAAGCCCCAGTAGATAGTTGTATGTCACAGTTGCACATCCTTCTAGTTGCTGTATGTGGACGCGGCCTCAGCATGGCCAGAGAAGTGGTGCGTCGGTGCGCACCCGGGATCCGAACCCCAGGCCGTCAGTAGTGGAGCGCGCACACTTAACCGCTAAGCCACAGGGCCGGCCCTGTCAGTCATTCTTAAAATGTAAAAATACTGTTCTGTGAAGGAAGCAGCTGCATCAGCTCTCGGCTGGGACAGTCACGTCAGGGCTTTTCCTAGAGTCAGCCGTCACGCTTTGACTTAGCGTTAAATGATACCTGAAGAATTTGAGGAACTATGGGCAGAACCATTAAGGGGGAAATTTCAGCCTGTGGCTCGGCTTGATTAGAGTTGTGTTTTGCTGTATAAAGTTGCTGTGTTCTTGAAGAGTAACATGTTAATTTTTACAACCCATGTCATATATTGAATATACTAGTTGTTCTAGTCAGAGAATACAGTGTTTGGAATTTTTTATAAAACAAAATGGTCTGTTCATTTGACCTGTTTTAAAAATATTCTTTCATATTTATATTTTTGTGAAATTGGGGATATGGAAGAAATCTGAATTGAATTAAAATAGATTATATCTTCTTTTGTTAAATATTATGAGCCACTTTCCCCCTAGGATGTTGAAAAGGAGGCATGTGGAGATCCCTTCTGTGAATAGGGACTTCCTGGTCTCACCAGCCTCTGTGTCCTGACCAGGAGCTGCCCGTTCCCAGCGTGTTGTGAAGAGACTTCCGGAAACTGGGTACGTAACCACAGGAACCTATGATTTCGGCTGTTCTTACGGCTTTTCATCTCTTTGAAACAACTGTCAAGGTTATTTGAAAATGTACCCGCTACACCTCAGTGATACGTTGACAGTTGGTTATAAGGCTGATTTCTGGATAAACAGTTTTATTCATTTTCTATAGGACAGTAAAGTTGAAAACTCCAAGATGTTTCCTTGGGCCTTGGACACTCTTTAGATAGAAGGACCTGGTGTCTGTGAGGGGCAGTCCCCAAACTAATGTACCTCTGGCCCAGGACCTATGAAGACAAGAGAGATGAATAGAAATATATATGTATATTCCCTTAATGAACACGTTATAATCTAATTACATCAGTTGTTTAAATCAGAATGTGAATGAGGCTAAATTCCAAGGTTTAATTTCTCTGAAAGAAAAAGTTTTATAAAAGGGAAAACTAGTTGCCAGATCACACGGCCACCTTCTTTCTCTAGCCAACACTCACCAAGTTGTGCATTAATTAGGACGGGATCAGTCCGATATGTTTATTGTGTAGTTAATAAAGAGGGAAGGGACCTTTTCTGGAATTTTGATTGGATGAGGATACTGGGTAAGTTAGAATATAAATTTATGCCACTAGCTGGTTTCAATGTTAACATTTAAATTTTATTGTATTCTTTTAGGTTTCTGGAAGAGAATCTGCCTCTATCAGTGACTAAAGCTCATGTATATACATTTTCAAGCCTTTATGTGGTTTTAACCAATATTAACATTGGTGCTTCTTTTAAGCTAAGTAACTGGGGTGTGTGTGTCTGTGTGCAGATACTTTGTAACTCAATGTACGGACATTTGTTGCAGCCATTTCACATGTCATACACTAGATTCAGCGGTCATTGTCTGAGGATTCACATTACAGAATTTACAATCCCCTTTTGTTGTTTACTCTGATTACTGTTATGTCTTCATTTCCCACCTTGCCTCACTTTACTTCAGTTGAAATGTTGGAATACGGCGTCAGAATGAATAAAGTGCTATATGGAGAGAGACCAGACAGAAGGGAGAAGAGAATGAAGAAAGGCCCTCCCCTCTCCCTCACTGCTGCCTTTCAGCCGTGCTGCCGGCTGTGGACCCTGCCCAGTGCAGACTCACCTCTGCATCCTTCTGGGTGGCTTGGGTTCTGGGTGACCCCTGGAAGTCAGGGTGAGAAGTGGCCCTGGCCATGACTGTGGTCCACATGGGTGTTAGAAGTGTCCCCAGTGAGATGTCCACATGGCCTCATCGAGGTGAGATTTTGTTGAGGAGAGCAGCTCATGGAAGGTAGGTGGTTTGAAACTGGCGCTGGTTCACGCGATGTGAGAGAGCTGGTAATCCCGGCCGTCCGTGGAGAGGGCGTTTGTTAACAGGCCGTTTTACTTTTGAGCTTTAAGTTCTTGTGTACACGTAACCAACCTAGCCTACTTTGCATTAACACCATATTAGGTATTATTTACTTAGATTAATTTTTTCCTTTAAATATATAGTGGATTTCAAAATATGATTTTTATTGAAACCAATTATTTCTTCTCTAATTCTAGATGGGAACTCAGAAGGGATATATATTTTTGTAGACATATTTTACACCTGTGACTACTTGGGAATATGTGAGTCTTCTTTTATTCGTGCCTAAGTGTTGGATACACCTTGGTTAAGGCTTTACATATTATTCAATCCATAAAATAGCATTGTCATCAAATCCTCTCCACACACTGGCTGTAGACCTAATTGTTTTCTCTGAGAAACCATGCAGTTTTGGTTGGGGAATAAGCTATCCAAGCGTGAGAATGCATTATGAGCTCGTGGTAGGAATGATGGTAGTGGTTCAGAGCCTGGGATTTAGAATCAGAAAGTTTACAACTCTTGTCCCTACTCAGGGGCAAAATAACTCTTGACCCCTTTTAAGCCTTGAATTCTTCATAAGTAAAAATGACAAAAATTATGGGATCAGGTAGTGTTTGTTGTGAGAAGTAAATAAGATAATACATAGAAAGTGCTGAGAGATAATGATAGAAAGTCGCGACAGAGGGAGAAAGTGCTCGATATGTATTTTGCTGTCAATAACCAGTATGGACCATGGAACTTGGGGTCTTAGGTGAGAGACACATTTTCCTTAATGGAATTTTGGAAGACATACAAGTTTCTTTTTTTTGTGTTTTGTTTTTGTTACCAGTTCTATTTTAGTCATAGATGCTATTTGACACCCTATGGAAGACCTCATATGATTCTTATAATTGAATAGTATTATATAGTGATTTGCTTTGATTCTTTCTTTTTGTCTATGGCTAATAAAACAAGTAACAACAAAAAAGATTGCATTTCATGCTTTGTTACATTCCTCTTACCAGACAGAATTATTTTACAAAATATACAGCAAAAGTTGAGGGGTAATAGCATTACTAGGTCCTAATAACTCTTACCAGAACCTTTTAAAAATATTATTTGCCATTTGACCCTGTCTTACGCACTTTCCTATAGAACTTACTGGCATGCTGTGGAAACATCACATTAATGAGTTGCTTTGGTCTTTTGAAGCTTATCTATCAGGCTAATTTAATAGAAATAGATAGTACTGTGTGAGAAATGAACATATTTTTGTGAAAGAAGGCCTGGAGCGACGTTCACATGTGATACAAATAACAGGTGCTTGGAACTCGGCCCCAACGACAGTCAGTAAGCAGTTTACTTCCCACCATGCTGGGGAAAAACACAAAACCAATCACAACCTCGAAGTTTAGTAATTATTTTTCTTAGTTGAGGCACAGTCCAACCATTTTCTTTTGGCAAATGTGGGCGTTTTCCATCATGGCATTCTGTTTTAAACACCTTCACTATCCCCCTGAACTCATCAGATACCACCACAGAGCATACTTATCATGACTCACATTTACAAGGATACGTGTTTATAATGATAAAACATTATTTGCTAACTGATTTCAGAAAGAATTTGTAAATGATTGACAGATAACTAATGGCTCCAAGGCATCTTTGCCAAAATCCAAAAGGCACTCAATAATGTCATCTGAACCCATATTGCATGATGATGTTAAAGTTCAGTTAATGAGTTACAGTCACTGTAAACTTCCTGAATACACTCTTCCAAGACATTATGACATATCTCGTAGGAACCAATATTCTTGTAAAATTGGATTTCTGGTGAGCACCGTGCACGAGCGTATCCCAGAAAGGGCCTTTAAGTATGTTTATAATCTGGGTTTATTAAGAACAAGCACCCTAAGTTATTCGCCATTCAACTGGATTGATTGCATCAGATATGGGGGAGTTTACAGAAGACCTATAAATGCTGAACCAGTTAGTTCTGGCCAAACCATTGCTTACTGTGCATCTTTGCTTGTACCCTTCACTAACAAAGGCATTTGTCACTGAATTGATTTAGGACCTGGGCTAGGGTTGGTACTTTTTTTTTATCGACTTCCTTAACAACCCCCTTAACCCCAAATTATATGAGATGGTGGGATGGCAGATTTGGGAAAGAAGTGACTAAGTAAAGGTTTCTTCTCATTCTTTATAGTAACTGTGAGAAATGTGGCACCTGGCAGGAAAGATAAGTGACTTTTACACAGTACTATTATGGCCGGGTAAATATTACTCACTTTTTATAGCACTAATAATTAAACAGAGCCTGGGTCAGTCTTTTGGCAATTGAAATATTTAAGACTTTCCTCTTGTGTAGGCTTGTGTTGAGTTCCCCACGTTTATCAATCTGTGATCTATGTCTGATGACTTATGGTTCGTATCTTTATTTAGAGTAAATGAAATAAACTCAGTACCCTTTTGTTTCCATTTGAGGCCTTTTAAAACATTTAGGCAAATAACTAAATTATCCATACTATTTTTAAAAGAGGGATCCGTAGGGCATCCAGAGTGATATCCCTAGGAATGACATAGTAATTATTTTTAGAGCCATAAAGTAGATCCCAGGCATCCTTAATTTGTGAAACTGAATGTTGTACATTACCTAACATTATCTGGTAGGCCACCTGAATAAAAAAATCTTTCAAATAATAGGTGTTCCTCTAGAATGAAATATTTTATATGGCTAAATCTTACAGGGGCTATATAATGCAATCTTGATTGTGTTTCAGTTATTCTAATAGACATTGTTTTTTGCCCTCTCAATCCTTTGTGAAAAAAGAAAATTTTTAATCAAAAATGATGAATAAAGTAGAATTTAGAAATATCTATTCTTTAAATAGTTTCTCAACACACAGCAATCTGTGAGTTGTCAAAACATCAAGCTACTGACTGTAATAAAATAATGGCATAACATATGTTATAGCTTCCATTATATTTTGGGAATGAAAGGATAAAACTAGAAAAGGCAGGGTTAGTTGAAAACAATTGCAGATGCTTAGAAAGGTCATCTTATACTATAGAAAACTGAAAAAACAAAAGTTTCTAAAAGGTAGCTTTACTTTCTACCTGTTATTTTTATTTCCATGAATCTCCCAAGTTATACCCTCAAGCATTATTTATTTAGACACTAATATATTTTAGATTTTTCAAGTCCTTTTATATTTCCCAGAAAACCACAAACCATCCAGTTTTTCTATGTTTACCTAATAATTAAGAGGAAAGGTAGTTGAGATTAGGGGTTAATAAAAAATTTGGAATTGTTGTAAGATTTCAATTATCCATTATCTCTTTCATTAACTTTAATTACCACAGAAACTTAATTGTGCTGTGTTTAAATTTAGTGCCTTTTTGACTTTATTATTATCTTAAAGCTTTATTCCAATTTATTATGTTAATATTAGAATATATCTGAGATTTATAAGAGTTGTTACTAGATATGTCATTTTTTTTCTTTTGATGAGGAAGATTAGCCCTGATCTAACATCTGTGCCCATCTTCCTCTACTTTATATGGGATGCCACCGCAGCACATCTTGATGAGTGGCATGTAGGTCCACACCTGGGATCCGAATCTGTGAACCCTGGGCCACTGAAGTGGAGCACGTGAACTTAACCACTACGCCACTGGGCTGGCACCTAGATATGTTATTTTTGACTAGTTTTTCAACCTCTCTTTACCTCTCCACCCTCCTGTATCATTTCTCCATTTATTGAGCACTTACTGTATGTCAGGCACCTGCTAAGTGCTTTACATACAGTCTATCATTTAATCCTCAAAATAATTATTTTATATACCTCTATTTTACATATAAAAAAAGGGAAATTTTAAGTAATTTGCCCACTGCCACACAACTAGTGTATGAAAGAGCTGGATTCAAATCCATGTCTCAATTCAGTGCTCAAGGTCTTAATTATTACAAGATTCTGCCTTGGAAAATTATTTTATGGATTAAATGATATGTATGCCTGGCACATGGCAGTCATCCAATAAATATCAATTATCAATATTAATATTGATGGCTGGGAAAGTTTGCACTGGGGAAAGGCAAAGAGCTTTAAACATAGAGTTGGTAATGCATTATGTCCTTAAATGATGTAAACGTATATAAAATATCAACAAATTATAAATGCAGGTCTGATTTCATCATGTCCCAAATGGAACTCATTATCTTTCATTTCACATGCCACTTTTTTTGATGAATGACATCACCAAATTGCTACATCAGAAATTTGGGTATCATTCTAAAAATCTCCCTCAGATTTACTTGCTTTGTCTATTCCCTTGACAAGCTGAGTCCATTCTGTTTCCTCAGTATCTCTCCTGGGCATCCCCTCCTCTAGTCCTGCCATTGGCTTGGCTTTGCAATATCCACATTGGAGAGCTCACTGGCGCTGAGCCAGAGGGACTTGAGGTCCAGTCAGGGTACATCATTGATTAACAGCCTGACCCTTGGTGAGTTCTTTGTTCCTTTTAGCATTGTTTCCTCAGTGTGGGTGCAGCGTGAACCGTGACTCATGGGATGGTGGGAAGATGAAATGAGATACATGTGGCGTGTCTAGCCCAATGATTGGTGCATAGATAACCCTCATCATTTCTC